ACTCAGCTCACAGCCCACCCGCACCCAAGCATCCTGTCTGCAGGCACAAGCAGCATGACCTTATAAAACTTCCCCTCCAGCCCCTGCCTCTTTGCAGACAGCAGACAGCCTTCCTTCTGCTGTCTTACCCATTGCATCCTTGCAATGCATGTCCCCCTTTCTTTAATAAATATGCCTTTTAAAACTCACTCCTGTCTTGGTAAATTCCTTTAACCCCTGCACGCAGGCCTCAAACAGCTGCTGACCATGACATCTCTCACTAAGACAGAGTTACCAGGGTGGGACCAGGCCTCCCCTACCAGTACAATGCTGGACAAAAAGCACATGTTAATATGTGTTGATGAAATACCCAGGGATAAGAAGGAGACTGATTTTTAAAAAAATTTTAAAACACACGTAAGATAAAATCGACCATTTGAAAGTTGATGGTTCCGTGACATTTAGTACATTCGCACTGGTGTGCTGCCATCATCATGATCAAGTTTGAGTACAGTTTTCATCTCCCCAGAAGGAAAGCCTGTGCCCATCAGCACTCACTCTCCATCGCCCCCGACTCCAGCCCTGGGCAACCACTAATTGGGTGTCTGTCTTTATGGATTTACCTGTGCTGGATATTTTATATAAATATAAATGCATACTGAATTTGGGAGGAGGTATCCTGAATCCCTCATTTCTGACTTCCCCTTTTGATCGCCCCTGAAATTCTGCTTTTAGACACTTCACTTGCATATCAGGACACTCTGGTAATGAAAGAGGGGGATCAGGAGGGGGAGACCTGACCCTCCTCCTACATCCCCCTGCTCCCTCTGTGGCCCTGGGAACGGTGGGGAAGCTGTTAGCCGATAATGAGACCCCCTCTCCCTTAATGACTCTGGGGGATGCGGGGATGCCTCAGGCTAGATCTGCCCTAATTAATTAATAGGGAGCGTTTCCCACAGAGGAATTAGCCTCGATTCCTCGGTCTCAGGCTCTTCTTGGCTCAGCTCATGTTCAAGTTCCACCTTGCAGCCTGGGCAGTCGTCTGGGGCAGCCTGGGGATGCTCCGTCAGCACTGCCTGCACTCCTAATGCTAGGGCCAGAGTTAGAGCCTCTGGTCAGAGTGGACCTGGGGTGGCTTTAGCATAAAGACAAATGTGGGCTCAAATCTGACCCCACTCATTTTTTTTTTTTTTTTTTTTTGAGACAGAGTCTTGCTCAGTAGCCGAGGCTGGAGTACAGTGGCACAATCTCAGCTCACTGGCACCTCCACCTCCGTCTGAGTTCAAGTGATTCTCCTGCCTCAGTCTCCCAAGTAACTGGGTTTACAGGTGTGTACCACCACGCCCGGCTAATTTTTGTATTTTTAGTAGAGATGGGGTTTCACCATGTTGGCCAGGCTGGTCTTGAACTCCTGACCTCAGGTGGTCTGACTGCCTCAGCCTCCCAAAGTGCTGGGATTACATGCGTGAGCCACCATGCCCAGCCCTAACCCTGATCTTCATTAATTCTGAGGCCTGCTGCTTAACCTCTTTGAGCCCATTCTATATCTGTAAAAGGGAGCTGGCAGCCTTTACTGTTGAGAGAGCAACAGATCCATGACACCATGATGAGGCTGAGACACCAGTCCCGCATGCAAAATATAAGGTAGCACCAAAAAACTCAGTGACTAAGCCAAATAATATTCCAACGTTAATAATTTAAAAAAACCTCACCAAATTGATGCAAAAAAAAAAATCCATGGTTGAACAAAACAGCAGAATGTTCAAGATAGAATCAGTAAGAGTGTTGAACTGAGCCATACAGGAGCCTAAAAAGCAGAAGGCACTGGGCGCAGTGGCTCACGCCTGTAATCCCAGCACTTTGGGAGGCTGAGGCTAGTGGATCACCTGAGGTCAGGAGTTCGAGACCAGCCTGACCAACATGGTGAAACCCTGTCTCTACTAAAAATACAAAAATTAGCCAGACTTGGAGGTGGGCGCCTGTAATCACAGCTACTCAAGAGGCTGAGGCAGGAGAATCGCTTGAACCTGGGAGGTGGAGGTTGCAGTGAGCTTAGATCGCTCCACTGCACTCCAGCCTAGGGGACAGAGCAAGACTCTGTCTCAAAAATAAAATAAAATAAAAAGCAGAAGGAAAAGTGAGGAACTTTGGTCCTGTCTTTATTTAACATGTTGATCTATTTTGTTCATTGTGGATTTTTTGCATTCATTTTGATTTCTAAAAATGTTGCATTGAAACATTATTTTTCTTTAATACTGAGGTTTTTTGGCACTCCTTTCCTTTTGTTTTATTGAAGTGAAAGTTGTGTAATGTGCAATTAACTTTTTCTTTTTGATACAGTCTCTCTCTGTCACCCAGGTTGGAGTATAGTGGCAATATCTCAGCTCAATGCAACATCCTCCTCTTGGGTTTAGGCAATTCTTGTGTCTCAGCCTCCCGAGTAGCTGGGATTACAGGCGTGCACCACCGTACCTGGCTAAGTTTTGTATTTTTAGTCACAGACTCTGAGGACAGTTTTAGATTTACATAAAAAATGAAGGATAATACAGACAGTTCCCATATACTCTCGACTTAATTTCACTTGTTATTAATATCTTACTTTAGTATGGCACATTCCTACAATTACCATATTGTAATATTGATACATTATTATATTGATACATTATTAACAAAATATTATTGATATGGATAGTTTTTGTTTTTGTTTTTTTGAGACAGAATCTCACTCTGGTGTCCAGACTAGAGTGCAGTGGCACAATCTTGGCTTACTGCAACCTCTGCCTCCCAGGTTCATGTGATTTTCTTGCCTCAGGCTCCTGGGTAGCTGGGATTACAGGCACCTGCCTCCATGCCTGGGCTAATTTTGTATTTTTAGTAGAAACGGGGTTTCATCATGTTGGCCAGCCTGATCTCGAGCTCCTGACCTCTAGTGATCTGCCCACCTTGGCCTTCCAAAGGGCAGGGAATACAGGTGTTGTGCCACCATGCCCGGCCAATGTGGATACATTATTATTAACAAAAGCCCATGCTCTATTCAGATTTCCTCATTTTTTTCCTTATATCCTTTTTCTGTTCTAGGATCTCACATTACATCTGGTTGTCATATCTTCTTAGACTCCTCTTGCCTCTGACAGTTTCTGAGACACTCCTTATTTTCTCATTTTCTTATTTTATTTTACTTCTTTAGAGACAGGGTCTTGCTCTGTTGCCCAGGCTGGAGTGCAGTGGCACATAGTTCACTGCAGCCTCAACCTCCTGGGCTCAAGAGGTCCTCCAGCCTCAGCCTCCTGAGTATCTGGGACTACAGGCACCCACCACCAAAACCTGCTCCGGACGTTCCTTAATTTTTAATGACTGTTTTGAAGAGGACTGTGCAGATAGATTATAGGATTCCTCTCTTTTGAAGTTTATCTGACATTTTTCTCATGCTTAGACTTGAGTTAGGGTTTCTTTGGGATCCTCCCTGATTGTTACGGGTGTAAAGGATTTGCAAGACCCAATCGCCGGGGAACTATTACTATTTTATTTACTTACTATTTTTTGTGACAGACCAAGGGTCCTGTTGTCTTCACTGCTGAATTTCTAGCCTCTGGCACAGCCGGGTGTACAGGAAGTATTTGTGGAGTGAATGACTGTAAGAGACAGGAGTTCAGGAGCAGCTCTAGGTTCAAGAAGGATGCAGAATCAACCAAGCACAGCGAGCGACTGAAGCAGAAGGAGTGAGAAGGTTGCAGGGAGGGCTTGCCAACGTGTTCCGGGGGAACCTGATGTCAAAGACAGAGATTCAGCCTTGGCCATACATTGGGAGCATTCAAATATGCTGATGCCTGAGTCCCATTTCCAGGGATGCTGATGTCCTTGGTCTACGGTGTGGCTTGGGTATCAGGTTTCTTTTCTTTCTTTTTTAGACAGGGTCTTGCTCTGTTGTCCAGGCTGGAGAGCAGTGGCACAATCACTGTAATCTCAAATTCCCAGCTCAAGTGACCCTCCTGCCTCAGCCTCCTGAGTACTGGGACTATAGGTGTGTGCCCAGCTATTTTTTTGATTTTTTTTTTTTTTTTTTAAATAGAGTCCTGCTATGTTGCTCAGGTTGATCTTGAACTCCTGGGCTCGAGTAATCCTCTCTCCTTGGCCTCCCAATATGCTGGGATTACGGGCACAAGCCACCATGTCAGGCTGGCTTCAGAGTTTTTAAAAGCTCTCCCGGTAATTTTAAAATACAGTTAAGTTTGAGAATCACCTAAGTAGGAGCTGTTGCAAAGAAGCAGAGCCATGGCGATGCATGCAAAGAATTAGAATTGGGGCACCTGTTTCCTGGCTGTGTGACCTTGGACAAGCTATTGAACCTTTCTGAGCACCTGTGCCCTCTCTGAAAATAGAGGAAGTGATAATTACTTCGTAGGAACGTGTAGATTAAATATAACTATTAATAAAAGAGCTTTCAGGAGGTTGCCACCAACACTTAATATCAGCAACAATAATAAAAAAACATTGAACGTGCACTGAGGTTTTATTGTTTGCTTGTTTTTGTTTGTTTTTGATGGAGTCGCGCTCTCTAGCCCAGGCTGGAGTGCAGTGGCACGATCTCGACTCTCTGTAACTTCCGCCTACCGGGTTCAAGCGATTCTCCTGCCTCAGCCTCCCCAGTAGCTGGAATTACAGGCACCCCACCATGCCCCCGCTAATTTTTGTAGAGACGGGGTTTCACCATGTTGGCCAGGCTGGCCTTGAACTCCTGATCTCAAGTGATCCGCCCACCTCGGCCTCCCAAAGTGCTGGAATTACAGGCGTGAGCCACCGCGCCCGGCCTGCACTGAGTTTTTATTCACACGACAGACTTTATGCTCAGATCTTTAAACGGCGTTAGCTCTCAGGAGAGGTGGAAGATGTGGGAAGCAACCAAGTCATTGCCTTTCGAGAAGAAAAGCCAAGTGCACCCTGCCTGCTGTGCTCTAAAGACAGCAAAGAATAATAATTACAATAGAAACAGCGTTATCCATCTCCCATTTGCCCAGTGCTTCGCGCTGGCACGGAACATTTCCAGGCTCACGCGCTTTAATTTTCTGTAGGGTCGGCCAAGTCATCTCCCTTGTTTAGCGGAGGAGGCCAGGCTCAGAGAGGGAGAGGGGTTGGCCCAAGGGCACACAGCGGCCAAGGGCCACCGCCGGAAGGTGCCCCAGCAGGGAGGAGAAGGGGGCAGCGGAGCCCTCGCCCCGGCTGTGACCACTGGGACACTAGAGCCGCGCCTTCCCCAGGCCTCCGCCGAGGCTGCTGGCGAGGGTCCCGCGGTGTCAGGGCCTGGTCCCCGCGCTCTGCCCGGGATGCTGGGGCCTCGGAGGGCTCCGGAGGCGGTTGGTTGGGGGGGGTGGGCGGGGAGGGCGCGGAGGCGCGGCTCCGAGCAGGGGGCGGGGGCTGGATGCTGGAGAGGCCACTCACGCCCGCCCACCTCCCCAACCCCCTCCCTTCTCAAACACGCGGTCCCCCTTCTCCCGTGCGGCTGCCGAGCCTGGGCTGGGCGCGGGGGAGGCGGGGGGCATCGTGTAGGGGATCCCGCCCCCTCCCCCGGCCGCCCGGCGCCCCCACACCCACGTGAGCGCAGGGCCTGCCTGGATCCCGCCGGCAGCACAGCGCGTCCCGGCTCCGCGCCGGTGCCTACAGCGTTCTGTCCCCGCGCCGGCGCTGCACAGTCCCTGGCGGGTCCCTGCGGCCCCGGCCGGGCGCTTCGCCGGGCTCCGGCTCCTGCATCCGGGCGCATCGCGCAGGCCAAGGCGCGGGCAAGCCGCCCCCGCCGCTCCGGACGCCGGTGAGTGGGGGCTCCACGGCTCGGCTGGGGCGCGGGGGTGGCTGGCAGGTGCGGATGCGAGGCGCGCCGGGCTCACTCTGGGGGCAGGCGTGGGAGGCGCTCCCTGCCACCGCTTTTCTCCTGGTCATTCCGGTGAGTTTCCTATCACCTTAGTTATCCCTGGGTCTCCCTGCCCGTCACCCCACCTCCCCAACCCGTGGCCTCCGCTCACCCGCATGCTTCCAGCACCGAGCATGAGCCTGATGCCTCGGTGCATTTACAGGGCTCGGTTGCCTTCCCCATCAGACGGCTTATTTCACCAGTTCCACACATATCTGATGTGGCTGAGGCTGCAGGGTGTCTGGGCGTGTGTGTGTGTGTGTGTGAGTGTGAAAGAGAGACTGAGGTCGCCTTCCCAAACAGGTGTGTGAAGCTGAATGCTTAAAATGTGGGGATGATTTTGAAAGTCTGAAGTTTTGTGTTTTAAAGAGTGTGTGTGTGTGTGTGTGTGTGTGTAGAAATTGTATGATTGTCTCCTACAATTCCTGAGTAGCTAGGACTGCAGGCACAGGCCACCATGCCTGGCCTCTGCGGTATTTAATTCCTGAAGGGTGGTTGTGCAGAGCCATGAAGGTATATGTGGTTGTGTGTCTGAGAATGTACATGAGTTTGTGTGTGCATGCAGAACTGTATGACTGCCTGCCTGGAATTGTATTTCTGAAGGTATGTGATTGTGTGCCTGAGGGTGTACCTGAATGTGGCAAGTGTGTGAGTGTGTATGTGCAGAATTGCATTTCTGAAGGCATGTGTGATTGTGTGCCTGAGAGTGTACATGAATGTGGCAAGTGTGTGTGTGTGTAGGGATTGTAGGACTGCATGCATGGAGCTGCCTTTCTGAAGGTGTGCGTGGGTGTGTGTGTGGTTGTATGTCTGAAGAGTTTGAGTGTGACTGTGTCTGTCTGGGGTTGTGGTTGTGTCATTTGCATACAAGAGGTTTTCGAGGTTATGTGTGCCTGTGTGTGTCTGAGTGTGTGTGATGTGTACATGGTTTCCATCCTGTCTCTCCCTCCCCTCACTCACTCCCCTCACTCAATGCTAGCATACAATTGCAAAAAAAAATGTACAGAAAGCCTTTTCATTTTGCTCACTGTAGCTTGCTTTAGTTTTAGGGATGTAAGAGGCTCTGAGGGGCAGCCGACACATCTCATCACATGTAAGCGTCTGGAGGTTGGGAGACCCAAGTGGGAAAGACCTCCTCTCACCCCTCACCCTGTAGAAACTGGGGACACTAAAAGGGACATTTTCTGAGCAGGAAACCTAAGAGGTAGGTCCAGAAGAAAACCTAGACCCAGGGAAGCCTAGAAAAGAGAGAGCCCCGGGTGGGGAGAAGAGAGAAACCCAGAGAGGCACGAGTGGAGGTCAAGATCACATTTTGTGTCAAACATTTTTGAAAATTAATGTTATTATTAATTGACAATCACAATGGTATATACTCATAAGTGATGCAGACAGCACTGAGAAAAGTAGACAGTAAGTCATCCTGACACTGTAGCACTTTACTGTACTTTTAATTTTGTGTGAGTTAGGTTTCTGCTTTTTATCAACCACAGTTGACATCTATTTTGTGGTCTTCAGCAGGTGCTTCTCTTTTCTTTTTCTTTCTTTTTTTTTGGTCAGGGTTTTATGCTGTCACCCAAGTTGGAGTGCAGTGGCGTGATCATAGCTCATTGCAGCCTCAGACTCCTGGGTTCAAGTGAGCCTCCTGCTTTAGCTTCCTGAGTAGCTAGGACTACAGGCACAGGCCACCATGCCTGGCTAATTTTTTTTTTAAGAGATGGGGTCTGGTTACATTGCCCAGGCTTGTCATGAACTCCTGGACTCAAGCAGTCCTCCGGCCTTTACCTCCCAAAGTGTTGGGATTGCAGGCATAAGCCACTGTGTCTGGCCCACAGATGCTAAGTATTGTCTGCTCTTCTCTAGGGGTCAGCAATTATTTTCAGCAAATGGCCCAAGAGGAGATATTCTCAGCTTTGTGGCTGGTACAGTCTCTGTTCTAACAACTCAACTCAGGTTTTGTAGCTTGAAAGCAGCTGTAGACAATGAATGAGTGTAGATGTGTGCGCCAATAAAACTTTATTTACAGAAACAAGTAGTGGGCTAAATTTGGCTAGCAGACCATGGTTTGTCAATACCATACTATGTCTTGTAAGGAAGAGAAAGGAACCAGACAAAACTCTAGGCTCTGGAGTTTTCCTGACTGTTCAGATCTTAGGTGAATTATCTCTCTTGGGATCCACAGACAACTTCCTGCTATGGCTTAGTGCCTGGAAACATAATATCCCAGAGGAGAGGAGGGATCGTACATTCCCTCTGTAGTCTTGTGGTTCACTCTCTGTGGGTTTTTTTTTTTCACAGCAAGGTAAGAAGCAGCATTGTGGTTTCAGGAGACGGATCCACTTGGAGCAGGATCCTAAGTGGGGCTTGGCATTGGGAATTTGGATTAGATCTAGAGGACATAGGCTCTGGAAATCCAGGGTAGATGTCCCATCCTTTGGATATGGTGGGAAGTGGAGGAGGGCAAGGAAGATCCCAGAAAAGCCAGTGGCAGGAAAAAAAAAAAAAGGCCCAGGAACCTACATACTGGTAAAACCGAGACCTCCAAGAAACTCCCAGCTCAACCTGGTTGAATTCAGATACTGTTGGGGGTGAGAAAAGATATCAGGGAGACTTGATCCCTTAGAAAGTAGATGGGCGGAGGGGCAGGGACGGCGGGGTACTGTGGCTATGACTGTAATCCCAGAACTTTGGGAGGCCGAGGCAGGTGGATCACCTAAGGTCAGGAGTTTGAGACTAGCCTGGCCAACGTGATGAAACCCTGTCTCTACTAAAAATGCAAAAAAAAAAAAAAAAAAAAAGCCGGGTGCGGTGGCAGGTGCCTATAATCTGAGCTACTCAGGAGGCTAAGGCAGGAGAATTGCTTGAACCCAGGAGGCAGAGGTTATAGTGGGCTGAGATTGCGCCACTGCACTCCAGCCTAAGGAACAAGAGTGAAACTGTCTCAAAAAAAAAAAAAGAAGAAGAAGAAGTAGATGGGAGAGGTGAACAAATTCTCTTTATAGGTGTGACAATCCCAGGCAAACCGAACAGGTAGAGTCCAGTATAAGATACAATATTTAGTGTCTTCCTTTGATTTAGAGAGGTTTTCTTTCTGAGTCAGATGAATCTGGTGTATTGCTAGGGGAACAGACAGCAGATTCCAAAGGGAGAAGTAAAAAGGATTTATGTTCAGAGTATTTATGAAGATATGAGCAGAGAAGAGGACCCAAGGAGATTAGAGGTTATGCTGGAGGACTGCCCTATGGGAGCAGTGGCCTTAGGTAGAGGAACACAGCAGCCAAATAGTGGCCTGGCACAGGGAGCTGGGAGGTAGAAGAATAAACACTCCATCTCCATCTCTTCCCGCCCTCCATTCTCCTGCTGTCTTTAAAAGAGTTTTGTGGCCAGGCACAGTGGCTCATGCCTGTAATCCCAGCACTTTGGGAGGCCAAGGCAGGCAGATCACCGGAAGTCAGGAGTTTGAGACCAGCCTGGCCAATGTGATGAAACCCCGTCTCTACTAAAAATACAAAAATTAGCCAGGTGTGGTGGTGGGTGCCTGTAATCCCAGTTATTCGGGAGGCTGAGGCAGGAGAATCGCTTGAACGATTCTCGGGAGGTGGAGGTTGCAGTGAGTCCAGATTGTGCCGGTGCACTCCAGCCTCAAAAAAAAAAAAAAAAAAAAAAAAAAAAAAAGAATGTTGTATACATGTAGAGGGTACAAGTGTAGTTTTGATACATGCATAGATCGCATGGCGGCGATGTCTGGGCTTCTACTGTAAACATCACTCTAATTGTGTGCACTGTACCTACTGAGTAATTTGGTGTCTCCCAGCCCCGTCTCACCCTCCCACCCTTTCTTTCCAGTCTCCAGTGTCTGTTATTCCACTCTGTGTCCTTGTATACACAACATTTAGCTCCCATTTATAAGTAAACGTGGTATTAAACTTTGCTTCTGAATTATTTCCGCTTAAGAGAATGGCCTCCAGTTCCATGGGTGTTACATTTCATTCTTTATTATGGCTGATCAGTATTTCATTATATACATCATGAAACATAAATAAAATAATATAAGCAACAATGTAGCAAGAAAATGTGATATTGATATAAATGTGATACAGATTGATTTACCTATAATGTAATATACTATACTTATCTACATCACATTTTCTTTAATCATCCATTCCTGGACACTTAGGTTGATTCCACATCCAGGCCATTGCAAATAATGCTGTGATGAAACATATCAGTGCAGATATCCTTCTGATAAAAAGAAAACTGAAACAATGATTTGTTTTCCTTGGAGTGGAGACTCAGTAGGGAGATTTCTGGATGGATGGTAGTTCTATTTTTAGTTATTTGAGAAATCGCCATACTGTTGTCCTTTCCCCTGGACAGATCGAAAGAGAACCAGTGGGAGAGGGAGCCTGAGAGTGGGTCTAGAAGGAAGAACAGAATTCTCAGTATCCCTGGAACAAGGGCACCGCCCTTTCTTGGTTATGACAACAGTGTAGGTTAGGAGGTATAGCATCTATAGCACACAGTGCTTTTAGGGACTCACAGAAATGTTTTCATTTCTTTCTTTCTTTCTTTCTTTTTTTTGAGACAGTCTGGCTCTGTCACCCAGGCTGGGGTGCAGTGGTGCAATCTTGGCTCACTGCAACCTCCACATCCCGGGTTCAAGTGATTCTCCTGCCTCAGCTTCTGGGATAGCTGGAACTACAGGCACCCGCCACCATACCCAGCTAATTTTTGTATTTTTAGTAGAGACGGGTTTCACCATGTTGGCCAGGCTGGTCTCGAACTCCTGACCTCAGGTGATCTGCCTGCCTCGGCCTCCAAAAGTGCTGAGATTACAGGCCTGAGCCACCGTGCCTGGTTTGGTACAGGTTTTTAGATAAGTGAATAAGGACACATGGATATAGCCAAAGATAAAGAGGAAGCACAAAAGTCTGCAGTCTGGGAAACATCAGTACAGTGCCTGCCACCCCAGAGGGGCTCATGAACATCACACTATGGCCAAGAATCATTATCATTTCTTTCCCAAGGGACTCCCCACCTCCATGTTGCTCACCTGGGCATTCTGGCAGAGTAGCTGCATTTACTGGACACCTGCGGTTTGCCAGGCACCTGCTGATTGTGTCCTTGTGGAAAGCCTCCATGCTGGACACGAAAGTGTCTTAATTTGGGGAACTGGCCTCCAGGTGCTTTGTCTACAGCTCTGTATGCAGTTGGCACTTAACAAAGGCTTGTTAGTTTCCTTTGAGCCGCTGGGGCAGCCCCCAGAGGCTTGTGATGAAATCAGTGAAATAAGAGTGGGCTGGAGTCAGGGAATGTCAAAAACGTCCATTAATTTGTGGTTTTCTCCTCTTCCCAGCCATTCCTAGGAATGATTCTGGAGACTTAACCTTTTACTGCCAAGACCTGACCTTGGAACCCCAGGCAGTCTCTCAGGTGTCCTAGGACGGGCACGTCCCAACAGACTGACCTTCCCCCTCCCACCTTCTTTTTTAAAAATTTATTTTTATTCATTTGTTGTTCCTAGAGACAGGGCTGTGCTAGGTGGTACGATCATAGCTCACTGCAGCCTCAAACTTCTGGGCCCAAGCAATCCTCTTGCCTTGGCCTTACGAAGTGTTGGAATTACAAGTGTGGGCCACTGTGCCTGGCCTTTGTGCTTTTTTAGAGGGGTGGAGGTCTCATTATCTTGCCCAGGATAGGAAGATCATAGCTCTCTGTAATCTTGAACTCTTGGGTTCAAGTGATCCTCCTGCCTCAACCTCCCAAAGAACTGGGACTACCACCCGCAGCTATGTCAAAATTTTTAGAAACAGGGTCTCATTATGTTGCCCAGGTCAGGCTTGAACTCCTGGGCTCAAGTGATCCTCCTGCCTCCGCCTCCCAAAGTGCTGGAATTACAGGCGTGAGCCAACACACCCAGCCACCCCCGCCTTCTGAGAGTCCTCAGAAAGCGCCCATCACCCTTCCCAGCCTTCCCCATCTGCCCACGCCTGCCTTCTGTCCTGGCCCTCACCAGCC